AAGTAGTTCTTAAGAAAAATATTTTTTTTTATTTTTTTTAAATATATTTTTATAAAAATCCACGTTCAAGAAGTCCTTCAAAAAAATATTTTTTTAAAAATCCACGTTCAAGAAGTCCTTTAGAAAAATATTTTTTTTTAAAAATCCAGGTTCAAGAAGTCCTTTAGAAAAATATTTTTTAAAAATCCACGTTCAAGAAGTCCTTTAGAAAAATATTTTTTTTTAAAAATCCAGGTTCAAGAAGTCCTTTAGAAAAATATTTTTTAAAAATCCACGTTCAAGAAGTCTTTTAGAAAAATATTTTTTATAAATCCACATTCAAGATGTTTTTTAGAAAAATATTTTTTATAAATCCACGTTCAAGATTTTCTTTAGAAAAATATTTTTTTTAAAAATCTACGTTAAAGTAGTCCTTTAGAAAAATATATTTTAAAAAATCCACGTTCAAGAAATCCTATAGAAAAATATTTTTTATAAATCCACGTTCAAGATGTCCTTCAGAAAAATATTTTTTATATTTAAAATAATAAATAATAAAATAAAATTTAAAAAAAAAATGTAAAAATTATGGCGTTTGACTTTGTTGCAGTTGTTTTTTTTTTTAACTCACTCTGTATATAAATTCCTGACGTTTAGATAAGATTTAGACTCTTGAAGTCTTGTAGGACCTATAGTATAATTGCATGACAAATAATTTGCTAGAACATTTTGACTTGCTACAATCCCATTAAGTCCTATTTAAAACTGCATTTTTTAAAACTATATTCCCTTCGAATGCGGATTCAAAAAAGTTTTCTTATTTCTATAATTGTTCTGTATTTTTATTTTTTCCTTTCTAAAAAGATAACCCCTGCTTTCAACTGCAATCGTTTGTTTATTCCTCCTCTCCTTGTGTTTTACATTTTAAATTACAATGTTTTTGTTGTTGTACTTTGGCGGCTGTGGTGGAACGCGCGGTAGTCGCGGTGATATTCTTGGTTTTGCATGATATGGCTTTTTAATGTCGTCTGCACTTGGCGGCGCTGATTCTTCTATTTTTTTCGCTTTTTTTCTTCAATCATTTGTGTTTCTTGCAAACATCCTTCCTTCCTGCATCCTGCCCGCCGCCTGATGGTAACGATATAATGTTTTTAACATGTTGTTATTGCTTTCGTGTCTGTGTGTTGTCTATCCCAGCAGTAGCAGTAGCAGCAGCAATAACTACAAGAACATAGTTTCCGATATGCCTGCCTGACTGCCTGACTACTAAACTTCTGATGTCATTTTAATTTTCTTCTCTGGTTCAATTTCCAGTGGTGGCTTCAGGTTGTTTTTCATAGTTCGTTCCATGTAAGAAATGTCATTTTAATATGGGTTTGTGTTTGAGTATGTGTGTGTGTGAGAGTGGGTTTATATATGCATATTTATCCTTTCTTTGTTTCGTGCTCACATCCTTATTTGTATTGTGTTTTGGGTGGATGATTTTTGTCTAGAAGTTGTTGACATTCGTTGATAGAAATCTGTGTAATCAATGTAACCCCCGCCCCCACCCTCGTCAATCTTGTAAACAGCAAATAAATCAATACAAGGTAAACAAATTTAAGATACTGCAGATACTTTGGACGTGGGTTTTTAAAAATTATTTTTCTAAGGAAATAATTGAATGTGGATTTAAATAAAAAATTCGTAAGGATTACTTGAAAGTGGGTTTTTAAAAAATATTTTTTTTTAAGAACTACTTGAACGAGGATTTTTAAAAAAATATGTTTGTAAAGGGCTAATTGAACGTGGATTAAAAAAAAAATTTTCAAGGACTACTTGAAAGTGGAACGGGGAATTTAAAAAAATAAATTTTCTAAAGAATTATTTGAACGGGGATTTTTAAAAAAAAAAAAATATTTTTCTAAAGAACTACTTAAATGTGAATTTTTAAAAATATTTTTCTAAAAGACAACTTGAAAGTGGATCTTTTAAAAATATTTTTCCAAAACACTCCTTTAGAGCGGATTTTGAAAAATTTTTTTTTTAAAGAACTACTTTAATGTGAATTTATAAAAATATTTTCTAAAGGACAACTTGAAAGTGGATTTTTTAAAAATATTTTTCCAAAGCACTACTTTAAAGCGGATTTTGAAAAAAATATTTTTTAAAGGACTTCTTGAACGTGGATTTTTAAAAAAATATTTTTCTAAAGAACTACTTTAATGTAAATTTATAAAAAATATTTTTTTAAAGAACTACTTTAATGTGAATTTTTAAAAAATATTTTTCTAAAGGACATCTTGAACGTGGATTTAAAAAAAAAACAAATTCCAAAGGACTACTTAAACGTTGATTTAAAAAAATTCCAAAGGACTACTTAAACGTTGATTTAAAAAAAAATCCAAAGGATTTCTTACTTAGACGTGGATTTTTAAAAAAATATTTTTCTAAAGGACTTCTTGAACGTGGATTTTTAAAAAAATATATTTTAAAGGACTTCTTGAACGTGGAATTTAAAAAAATAAATTTTCTAAAGAATTATTTGAACGGGGATTTTTAAAACAATATTTTTCTAAAGAACTACTTTAATGTGAATTTTTAAAAATATTTTTCTAAATGACAACTTGAAAGTGGATTTTTTAAAAATATTTTTCCAAAGCACTAAAGTAGTGCGGATTTTGAAAAAAATATTTTTTAAAGGACTTCTTGAACGTGGATTTTTAAAAAAATATTTTTCTAAAGAACTACTTTAATGTGAATTTTTAAAAAATATTTTTCTAAAGGACATCTTGAATGTGGATTTATAAAAAATATTTTTCTAAAGGACATATTGAACGTGAATTTAAAAAAAAAAACAAATTCCAAAGGACTACTTAAACGTTGATTTAAAAAAATTCCAAAGGATTACTTAAGCGATAATTTAAAAAAAAAATCCCAAGGACTCCTTAGTTAGACGTGGATTTTTAAAAAAAATTATTTTAAAGGACTTCTTGAACGTGGATTTTTAAAAAAATATTTTTTAAAGGACTTCTTGAACGTGGATTTTTTAAAAAAAATATTTTTCTAAAGAACTACTTTAATGTGGAATTTTAAAAAATATTTTTCTAAAGGACTTCTTGAACGTCGATTTATAAGATATATTTTTCTAAAGGACTTCTTGAACGTGGATTTATAAAAAAATATTTTTCTAAAGGACTTTTTGAACGTGGATTTATAAAAAAATATTTTTCTAGAGAACTTCTTGAACGTGGATTTATAAAAAATATTTTTCTAAAGGACTTCTTGAACGTGGATTTATAAAAATATTTTTCTAAAGGACTTTTTGAACGTGGATTTATAAAAATATTTTTCTAGAGGACTTCTTGAACGTGGATTAATAAAAAAATATATTTTTATATATTTTGGATTTATAAAAAATATTTTTCTAAAGGACTTCTTGAACGTGGATTTATAAAAATATTTTTCTAGAGGACTTCTTGAACGTGGATTAATAAAAAAATATATTTTTATATATTTTGGATTTATAAAAAATATTTTTCTAAAGGACTTCTTGAACGTGGATTTATAAAAATATTTTTCTAGAGGACTTCTTGAACGTGGATTAATAAAAAAATATATTTTTATATATTTTGGATTTATAAAAAATATTTTTCTAAAGGACTTCTTGAACGTGGATTTATAAAAATATTTTTCTAGAGGACTTCTTGAACGTGGATTAATAAAAAAATATATTTTTATATATTTTGGATTTATAAAAAATATTTTTCTAAAGGACTTCTTGAACGTGGATTTATAAAAAAATATATTTTTATATATTTTGGATTTAAAAAAAAATATTTTTCTGAAGGACTTCTTGAACGTGGATTTATAAAAAAATATTTTTTTAAAAGACTTCTTGAACGTGGATTTATAAAAAAATATGTTTCTAAAGGACTTCTTGAACGTGGATTTATAAAAAAATATTTTTCTAAAAGACTTCTTGAACGTGGATTTATAAAAAATATTTTTGTAAAGGACATCTTGAACGTGGATTTATAAAAAATATCTTTCTAAAGGTCTTCTTGAACGTGGCTTTATAAAAAAATATTTTTCTAAAGGTCTTCTTGAACGTGGATTTATAAAAAAGAATTTTTCTAAAAGACTTTTTGAACTTGGATTTATAAAAAAATATTTTTTTAAAAGACTTCTTGAACGTGGATTTTTAAAAAATATTTTTCTAAAGGACTTCTTGAACGTGGGTTTATAAAAAATATTTTTCTAAAAGACATCTTGAACGTGGATTTATAAAAAATATTTTTCTAAAGGACTACTTGAACGTGGAATTTTAAAAAGTATTTTTCTAAGCAAATAATTGAATGTGGATTTAAAAAAATTGTAAGGACTACTTGAAAGTGGGTTTAAAAAATATTTTTCTAAAAGACATCTTGAACGTGGATTTATAAAAAATATTTTTCTAAAGGACTACTTGAACGTGGAATTTTAAAAAGTATTTTTCTAAGCAAATAATTGAATGTGGATTTAAAAAAATTGTAAGGACTACTTGAAAGTGGGTTTAAAAAATATTTTTCTTAAGGACTTTTCTAAAGGAATACTTGAGCGTGGATTTTTAAAAATTATTTATTATATTATGCCCAAGGCTGCAATACACACTCCAGAATATTTTCGCTATAATATTCGTCATTTATTCTGAGGCCACGTATTATTATTCTAATAATACGAGCGGCCATCCCGACCATCGGCTGTAATGGCGGCCCACATTGTAAAAAATATAATGAGCTGTCATTGGAATAATTTTAACAGCAATCGGACAAGTGGCTTAGAAATGACAGCAGTCTGAAATTGGTTGCAGTTTTTCATCTCACCCTGTATTTCAAAATATTTATGATCCTTTCTTATCAAATCCTATTTTTTTAAATTTATTTCAGAATTGTAAACTTCAACTATTTTCATGTCCATTAAACCTCTCTTGAAATTTAATAGTTGTTATTTATTTATAGCTATTTACTAAACGTTTTCTCCATCTTCTCTTCTCTTTACAGCCAGTCTCATTGGCATTGACACTATACACCATCAAACGCTGTCGGGTCAAGAGATTGACCAAATGAATGACCATCAATTGGATAAAGTTTGTAATAATGTCAGCGTTTTCTATCGCGTTACACCGCGTCACAAGCTGGCCATTGTAAAATCGTTGCAACGCACCGGCAACATTGTAGGCATGACCGGTGATGGAGTGAACGATGGTGTGGCTCTGAAGAAGGCGGACATCGGTATTGCCATGGGCAAAAATGGCACGGATGTGTGCAAGGAGGCGGCGGATATGATATTGGTCAATGATGATTTTCATACAATAATGTAAGTACATGTATGGGGAAGGGGGAGGGAAAACATGATTTTATAATTTTCTTTAATTTTTTTTAATTATTTTATTATTTATAATATTTTATTTTTTATAATATTTTATTTTTTAAAATATTTTTTTAATTTTTTTTTTGTAATTTTTTCATTTTAAATATTTATTTTCTAAACATAAAATTAATATTTTCTTTACAATTTATACTTTTTCAGTTTTTAATGTATATGTTATTTAATTAATATTTTTTTATTTTTTTTTTAATTGAATTAAAAATAGTAATTATGTTTTCAACATACATTTTTTAATTAAAACTTTTTTTTAATTTTTATTTTTTAAAATTAAATTTTTATTTTTTGTACTTATTTTCAGTTTTTATTTTTTAATTAAATTTTATTTATTTTTATGTTTTTAATATTTTTTTAATTAATTGCTATGTTTTTCATTTAAATTTTTAATTATTTTTGAATATTATTTAATTATTTGTTGTTTAAAACTTTTTATGATTATGTTTTATATTTATTTTTTTAATTATTAAAATTATTACTAAAAAATAAACTATTTTTTAATATTTTTTAAATTTAAATGTTTATGTGTTTTTTATAAAAGTTAATTTTTTTTATAATTTAAACTTATGTTTAAGTTGTTTTAAGCTAAAAGTTAAAATCTTTATATTTTATTATAAACATTATATATTTTGATTATAATGTTTATATTTTTACTTTATTTGTTTATTTAAATAAATTTTTTTAATTTAATTTTATGGTTTTTTTTTTAAATTTAACATTTTTTAATATCTATTTTTATTTTAGTTTTTATTATTTTAGTCTTCATTCATCCTTTTTTATATAGTTTTTTTTTATCTCTGAAATTTTTTAATCAATTTATGTTTTTAATATTTTTTTTGAACTGAATTTTTTATGTTTTCAATTTCAATTTTTTAATATTTTTATCATTTTTTTATTAAAATATTATTTAATTTTTTTAACATTAGGTTTTTGTTTCAAAACTTCATATTATTAAATATAAATGTGCTTTTTTTTTAATTTTTATTATTTTATTTCTTATTATTTTATTGTTTAAATATTTTTTAAATTAATTTTTTTTTTTTGTTAATTTAAGTTTTTATTTATTTTTAATACTCATTTTTATTTTTTAATTTTTTTTTTTTTTTTTTGGTATAAATTTTTTTTAATTTATTTTTTTGGCAATTTTAATTGTTTAAAACGTTAATTTTGTAATATAAACTATAATTCTTTTTGTATATATATATATATATATATATATATATATATATATATATATATATATATATATATATATATATATATATATATATATATATATATATATATATATATATATATATTTTTTTTTTTCTTTTTTTTTTTTTTGATATTTCCTATATCTTTTAATTATATTTTATAAATTACACAGTTTTATATTTTTTTAAATTAGTTTATTTTTTAATATAAATATTTTATTATTTAACACTTTTTGAATTGACATATTTATGTTTTTTTTTTTAATTTAAATTTCTATTTTTTATTATTTTATTTTTTTTTTCCACTTTTTTTATTATTATTCAAATTTTTAATTTAAAATGTTTATTTCTTAATTTAAATTTAAATTTTTTATTTTTAATTTTATTTTTTAAGACTTAATTTAATTATTATTTTCTATTATTATTTTATTGTTTAAAATATTATTTAATCTTTTAACATATTTTTTTAATATTTTTAATTAAATTTTTTATGTGTCTTTATTATAAATTTGTATTGTTTTCCTTATCATTTTATTAATTATTTCTAATTTTTATTATTTTTATTAAAATTTTACTTTAAATATTATTTCCTTTTAAATTATTTAGTTTATTTTTAAATATTAACATATTTTTTTTTATTTAAATTTATATTTTTTATTTTTTTTTTCTATTTTTTTATTAGTATTATTATCAAATTTTTAATTTAAAATGTTTTATTTTTTAACTTAAAATGTTATTTCCTAATTTAAATTTTAATTTTTATTTTTTTAAGACTTAATTTAATTATTATTTTTATTATTATTTTATTGTTTAAAATATTATTGAAAAGATTTTTAACATGTTTTTTTAATATTTTTAATTAAATTTTTTATGTTTTTGTTTTTAAATTTTTATTGTTTTTCTTATCATTTTATTAATTATTACTATTTTTTATTATTTTTATTAAATTTTTAGTTTAAATATTATTTCCTTTTAAATTTTTTTATTATTTTTTATATTTTTTAATACTTTTCAAATTAAAATTTTTGTGTTTTTTTTTTAAATTTTGATATTTTGTTGTTATTTTATTAATTATTTCTATTTTTATTTTATTATTATTTGTATTCAAATTTTGATTGAAATATTATTTATTTTTTAGACTTGAATTTTTATTTTTTTTATTTTTTTTTTTTAATTTTTAAATTACAATTTTTGATGTTCTTTTAATTGTTATTAATTTTTTATTTCTTATCATTTTATTGTTTGAATTATTATTTAATTATTTTAACATACATTTTGATTATTTATTTTTTATAATGATTAATATTTTTTGAATTTACATATTTATTGTTTATTTAAATTATCATTTTGTTTTTAATATATTATTAATTATTTCTATGTTTATTTTATTATTATTTTTTATAAAATGTTGAATTTAATAATTATTAATTGTTTAGACTTAATTTTTTATTTTTAAATTTATATTTTCGTATTTTATTTAAATTGTTATTGTTATATATTATTTCTATTCTATATATATTATTCCTATTTTTATTTTATTATTTTTTTTTCTATTTTTTTAATATAAATGTTAATATAATTATTTTGTTATTATTATTTATTTTTTGGTTTTTTTATATTTAATTTAATTATTTTATTTAGTTTTTTAATATTTCTTAAATATAGATTTTTATTTTTTTATTTTTAATAGTTATTTATTAAATTAAAATAATTTTTTTGTTTTTAAGTTTGTATTTCTTTAGTTTTCTAAACATTGCTTGAAATAAATTGTTATGCCTTTTAATTATTTTTTTTTAATATTGACTATTATTTTTTAAATTTACATTTTGAACTTTAAATTTAAATAAATTTTCAATCTTTAATTTCAATTTAATTAATTAATTTTTTTTGTAATTATTATATGTCTTTAAATATTGTTTAAATTAAAATTAAAATTGTTATCTTCTTTAATTTATTTTTTTTTATTTTCATTCTTTAGTGATTTTATTTTTTTAAATTAATTTTTTATTAATTTTTCATATTCTTAAAAAAATTTTTAATTTTTTTTGTTGTTGTTAAATTTTCAATTTTAAATATTATTAAATATTTTAAAACTTAAATTTTTATGATTTATAATTATTACTTTTCTAATTTTTCTTAAATTTAAATGTTTATATTTTTTTTTTGTAAATTTTAATTTTTAATTAAATATATTATTTATTTTTTGAAAAAAATGTATTTTTTCATTTGTGATTTTTCTTTATATAGTTATTTTACTTTTTAACATTTTTTAATTTAAATTTTATATATTTTAATAGTTATTTTTTATTTCGTATTACTTTTTTGGGAAATATTATATAATTTGTTTTACAGAATTTTTTTTTATTTTTTTCATTTAAAATTTCTTTTTTTAGTTTGTATATTTTTAAATTTAAATTTCTTTGTTTTTTAATCTTTTTTTATTTAATTTAAATGTTTACTTTTTTAAACAATTATAATTTATTTTGTTTTTATTAAATTTGGGTTTTTTTCCATTTTTTTATTTATATTTTAAATTTTTATCAATTTAATTCTTTTATTTTTTAAAAAACATTTTTTCTTATTTTTTCTCTTTTTTTCTTTTCAGAGCTGCAATCGAAGAAGGCAAGGCCATCTTTTACAACATCCGCAACTTTGTTCGCTTCCAGCTGAGCACCTCCATTGCGGCCCTCTCCCTGATTGCCTTGGCCACCTTGATGGGCATTGCCAATCCTCTGAATGCCATGCAAATTTTATGGATCAACATTATCATGGACGGTCCACCGGCCCAGAGTTTGGGTGTGGAACCCGTCGACCACGATGTGCTCAAGCAGAAACCGCGCAACGTCAAACAGCCCATGATTACCAAATCGGTTATTGTCAATGTCCTGTTGAGTGCCAGCATAATCATTCTCGGCACCCTGTGGGTCTTTCAGCGTGAAATGGTCGATGGCTCGCTGGGCAAGACGAAACGCGACACCACCATGACCTTTACCTGTTTCGTGTTTTTCGACATGTTCAATGCTCTCTCCTGTCGCTCACAGACGAAAAGCGTTTTCACCATTGGCCTAACCTCGAATCGCATGTTCCTAATGGCCGTGGCCTTCTCAATAATCGGCCAAATGTTGGTCATCTATTTCCCACCCCTGCAGATGGTGTTCCAGACGGAGGCCCTCTCAGCCTATGACATACTCTTTTTGCTGTCGCTCACATCGTCGGTGTTGATTGTGCAGGAGATCAAGAAATGGTTCGAACGCACCATGGAACGTAAAATGTACAAGACCCGTTCCGAGCTGGATTTTGTATGACAAAACGAAAGCGCTGGAAGATTGTTGACCAAAAAATCGAATTGAATAAAATTTTGGATTTTTTTCTAAATTTCTTTTTCCGCCGTTCCCAAGAGGAGGAGGAGGAGGGGGAGGTGGAAAGGGGAAATTTTGAATAATTTTTGAAAATCACAAATTTTGAGTTCTTAAGGATAGGCAGATAAGGGAAGAGAGAGAGAGAGAAATGAGAGTAGAATGTATGTCTTATCTAAGGTTTGTTTGTAATTTTGTTTAAATATAAGCTAACGGATATAAGCAAAACAAAGAGAAGGAGAATGTGTGTCGAAAAGAGGAAAGAAAACAAAGCTGAAGAAAAAAATTGAAAAAATATTGAAAGTAAAAAAGAGTGAGAGCTTTGAGAACAGAGTATTGAGCATTTATATATTTTGAGTTATGTTACTCCCACGACAAAAGAGAGCAAATCTTTGTTTATTTCTCCGCTTTCTCTTTTTTTGTTTTCAGTTCGTCTTGTGTATAATTTTCTAATTAAGTTAGTTTTAAAATATAATTAAATATAATCTTAATCTTAATTTTTTTTAAGTTTAAATTTTTTGTACAATAATTTTAGTTGGTAGCATCAAAATGGACATTCTGATATTAAATTTCAATATTTTTTTTGTTTATTTGGACTTGAGTATTTATTGGCTTCATTTTACCGCATTATTTTCAATATTTTTTTTGTATTTTATTTTTAAATTGTATAATTATTTTTTTTTTTTGTTCATGTGTTTAAGTTTATTAGTTTAAGTAGGACAATTATTTCGTAATTGCGAAATTTGTAAAATAAACACATAAAAAATATGAAAGAAAAATTTTGAAATTGCTTTTTATTTTTATTTTTAATTTTAAACTAAAAAAATCGAAACATTTAAAAAATTTTATTCAGGCATTTGCTTGTGAACAAAATTTATGCCCTACACCACAAGGTGGTCAGGGTATTATGTCTTTGTGCATTTGTTTGTAGTAGGCAAAAGGAAACGTGATAAACCCATAGTTCCTTTTGATGATCTGCATACAATCACATTCTGAGTCGATTTATGCATGTCCGTCCGTCCGTCTGTCTGTCTGTCCGTCCGTCTGTCCATGTATTTTTGTAAACAAAGTACAATTCGCATTTATTGCCCTATCCAGATGAAATTTTGCACAAACCATTTGTTTGGCCCAAGGACGAACCCTATTGAAATTCGAGATAATCGGTCAAAATTTAGATATAGCTTCCATATATATCTTCGTACGATTTACCTTTTATTGTGCACCAAATGTGTAATATCAGTCCGAATAGTATGGAATTTTGCACATACAACCAAATTAGGCCTGAAAATAAGTATGCCAAATTTGATCGAAATCGGTTCAGATATAGCTATAGCTCCCATATATATTGTTCATCCGATTTATTATTTTTGTCCTTCGCAAGCCGTAATATGCACTCTGTAACAACAATATTTGGGGAAATATATCAAATACAGCTTAGAAATACATTTGCTAAATTTTATCGAGATCGCTTCAGATTTGGATATAGCTCCCATATATAAGTTCGTCCGATTTACCTTATATTGTACACCAAACGTCTAATATTTTTCCAAATGGGATGGAATTTGGCACTTACGACCAAATTGAGTCTAGAAGCTAGTATGTCAAATTTGGCGAAGATCGGTTCAGATATAGCTATAGCTCCCATATATATTGTTCATCCGACTTGTTATTTTTGTCCTCCGCAGCCGTATAATGCACTCTGTAACAACAATATTTGGGGAAATATATCAAATACAGCTCAGAAATACATTTGCTAAATTTTATCGAGATCGCTTCAGATTTGGATATAGCTCCCATATATAACTTCGTCCGATTTACCTTATATTGTACACCAAACGTCTAATATTTTTCCAAATGGGATGGAATTTGGCACTTACGACCGAATTGAGTCTAGAAGCTAGTATGTCAAAATTGGTGAAGATCGGTTCAGATATAGCTATAGCTCCCATCATCCGATTTATTATATTTGTTACCCACAGTCGTAATATGCACTCCGTAACAACGATATTCAGGGAAATATATCAAATACAGCTCAGAAATATCCTAGCCAAATTTTATCGAAATCGGTTCCGATTTGGCTATAGCTCCCATATATATCTTTATCCGATTTCAAATTAATTGTGCACCAAATAGGCAATACAATTCCTAATTTAAAAGATACAAATGCTTCATATGAGAAAATATGAAGGAAATGTTTGTACAGTACATAAATTTATCGAAATCTTTTGAGATTTTAAAATAAAAGTAGACTAATTGAAAAGACGAAGGTTTTCCTGCTAGCAAAATTGTACAGTACATATATATGCCAAATTTAAAATGAAGCTCCGAAGCTCTTTTAAAAAAATTTGGAAAAAATTTCTCGTGTATTTGAATATTTCTGCATATTTTATTTTAGTTATTTTTTTTTCAAAAAAATATTTAAAAACGAATTTCATATCGAGATTTTCGACTTTTTATGTCTTTCCGAAAATTATCTCATTTCAGAATAACAATTTAAATTCAAACCCCCATAATTTAATAATCCTCTGACAACTTTTAAAATTGCAAAAACAACAAAAAAATTAATAACAAGAACAACAAAACTCAACTCAGTATTATTCATGGTGTGATATTAATTTATAACCACAAACCGCATGAAAAAAAGTATTATTTAAGCGTTTTTATGTTCAAACTCATTATTTAACATTTTTTTGTTGTGTGTGTGTGTGTGTGTGTGTTTGTTTGTCGGTGCCAAACAAATAACAATAGTAATAAAAATGAAATAATAACAACAATTGCAATTAATAAAAATAAAAATTATTAAAGTACCACTTATTACATGGCAAATGCATACAACCCACACTCGCACCCGCACACCCAGTGAGAATTACTTTGGCCTGTGGTTGCAATTCCAGAATGTTTCAAAATGGTTATCTGTATTATTTTGATCAACTTACTTTTCTTACTTACTTTTTTTTTTTTTTTTTTTTTTGTTTGCCAGAAATGTTTAATTTCCCGTGTGCATAATTAATTTAAATTTATTTTTATTAGTAATTGCACAAATAAACATAAATATGAAATTAATCATACATGTCGACTACTGTTGGTTGGCAAACACGGGTGCTAACGACATCTAGTGGGCTGGAGGAAGATTTATGATAAACGGATTGTGAATTATGCAGACTTTTAAAACAATTATTTTTCTGTCGATTAGAAGTCATTTTAAAAAATTAAAAGTGGATTTCTTTTAAATCGTTTATTTGTAGCACCTCGTGGACCTGTATTAAACAAGGATTTTGTAAAACATATATTTTTCAAGGTGGATTAAAAAAATAAATACTTTCAAAAAAAAAATTCAATGTCTATAAAAAAATATATATAATATATATAAATATATAAAAAAATATATAAAATATATAATATAATATATTATATATAAATATATAAAAATATATATAATATATATAAAAAAATATAGCTTAAAAAATCATTTTTTCAAAATCTGCTCAAACCGGGACTTAACGTTTTTTTTTTCAAGGTCGGTACAAATGCGAATTTTTTTACAAAAACATTTTTTTCCAAGTCTTTAAAAAATGTGGACTTAAAAAAAATTATATATTTTTTCTTCCAAAAACCACATTAACGTGGATTAAAAAAAAATATAATTTTTCCAATGGCCACATAAATGTGGATTTAAAAAAATATTTTTTCCAAAGACCACATAAACGTGTATTTTTTTCAAGGTATGCTCAAACGAGGATTTAAAAAATGTATTTTTCAAGGTCTAAACAAATGTGGATTCTTTAAAAAAATATTTTTTCAAGGTCTGAACAAATTTAAATTTTGTGAAAAATACTTTTCCTGGTCTATACAGCCGTTGATTTAAAACTAATATTTTTTCAAGGTCTGTGCAAATGTGAAATATTGTGAAAAATATTTTTCCAAATCTATACAGCCGTTGACTTAAAATATATAATATTAAAATATATAAATATTTTTTCAAGGTTTACATAAGTTTACAAGGGCCTTATAAATGCATTTTTTTAAATATTATTTTCATGGTTCACATCTACGTGGATTTTTTTAAAAGTATTTTTTCAAGGACCATATAAATGTGGATTTTTTAAATCATATTGTTTCAAGGTCTAGGTAAACGTGGATTTAAAAAAATATATTTTTTAAGGTCTACGTAAACGTAGATTTAAAAAAAAAAATTAAGGTCTGCATAAACGTGGATTTGAAAACAAAATATTTTTAAGGTCTACGTAAACGTAGATTTAAAACAAAATATTTTTTAAGGTCTACATAAACGTGGATTAAAAAAAATATTTTTTAAGGTCTGCATAAACGTAGATTTTGAAACAAAATATTTTTTAAGGTCTACATAAACGTGGATTAAAAAAAATATTTTCTTAAGGTCTGCATAATCGTGGATTTTAAAACAAAATATTTTTAAGGTCTACTAAATGTGGATTAAAAAAATATTTTTTGCAAGATATATACAAACGTAAATATTTTTTTTAAGTCTACACAAAAGTGGATTTGAAAAAAAAGTTTTCAAGGCATAGACATAATATTTTTTTTCAATGACCACATAAACGTGGATTTTTTAAATAATGGTTTTTCTTAAACCACATAAACATGGTTTTTTAAATAATAGCTTTTTTTTAAAAACCACATAAACGTGGATTTTTTAATTAAAAATTTTTAAAGGTCCACAAAAACATGAATTTAAAAAATATATATTGTTTAAAGGTCTACATAAACGGGGATTTAAAAATAATATATTTTTTTCAATGTCTACATAAAAGTGGATTTAAAAAAAATATGTTTTCAAGTACCAAATAAATGCAGATTTTAAAGAAAAATATTTTTTTGCAAGGACCACATAAACATATATTTTTAAATAATGTTTTACATAAAGACCACAGTAACGCGGATTGTTAAAAAATATTTTTTTCAAGGTTTAAAAAACATATTTTTTTCAATGACCACACAAACGTGGATTTAAAAAAAATATATTTTTTTTTTCAAGGTCTACATAAACGTGGATTTAACAAAATTATTTTTTTAAGGTCTACATAAACATGGATTTAACTAAAATATTTGGATTTTTTGAATAACATTTTGTTCAAGGATCTCAATAACGTGTTTTTTTAAATAATACATTTTAAACACAAAAACGTGATTTTTTTAAATAATATGTTTTATATCACAAAAACAAGTAACGTTTGTCTCTAAAAACGTGGATTTTTTAAACATGGATTTTGACATATTTT